GGAAGAATGGAGACACAGGGAGAACATGCAAACTCGACTCAGAAAGACCCTGTTCTGACTGGGTTTCAAACCCAGGACCATCTTGATGAAAAGCGACAGCTGTTTCCACTTTGTATCATGCAACCCCAAAAATACCTGATAGATGTACTTTAATATAAATTCAATTCAATGTATTCTTGAATAGCCCTAAATCACAACAGTAGTTATCTCAGAGGACTTTACAAAACCGTTTAAATCTCAAACACAGATCAAAGGAAATGGGCCATGGGGAGTTAATAAATGTCTAACAGACCCCCCTGCATCCGCAAGAAAAAATTCTTAAAACCCAGTGGGAGATAAGTGAGAAACCGGAGCTCCACACGAGGATCCACTCCACGGGCCGTAGATCCAGTAACAATTTTACTAGACCTTCTCTTACTTCTCTGCTACTAAGGACCATGCACTGCTGCAAATGACTTTAAATACTCAAACACAAAAAAAATCACACATTGGATGAAGATCTCAGTCATTAGCCAGTGAGAGCTCGGTCTAGAGTTGCTTCTCCTCTGGTAGTGCTGGTAGTTTAGTCACATGTTGAGCAGCAGACGTACCAAGAACACACACTTTCTTCACCTTTAAATGAAATACTGTGTTTGTGTCGACACCTCTGACCCCCTTTGACCACCTCTGACCACCTCTGTTTTATTTAAAGCATTTTTGTCCCAAATTATGGTCAAACAATTATCATATGGAGCTAGTGAGTGAGCTTGGACCAGAGCTTTGAAATCCTACACATTGTAAAGCGAACATAGTAAAGTGCTTTGGGTGGTCGTGGTCTGTAAAAATGCGCTATATAAATAAAGATTACTTACATATTACTTACACAGATGTTGCTGACATGAGAAGGAATACATTGAAATAGACTAATGGCTTTACTCGCAGCATGCGCCGTTATTGAAACAGATTTTGTTTATTTTTCACTTCAAGCAATGTCCAAAATTCTCGCTACAGTAGTCCTTCACTGTTTGGCATATTTTTTGTGTGTGTAAACTTGTGTGCTTCTCATGCATCGTGTGTACTCCAAAAACATCATACATGTAAACTGTACAACATAGATTTGTTGTTCACAAAACTCTTGTCTCTTCAGATGTTATGGTCCCAGCTGGATTCGTCTGCATATCTGGCAACCTCAGTCAGGGAGAGTGGGAGAGGCTGCAGTACCACTTTTGGCCACATTTTTACATACTGCTCATTTAATATCTTTTTTCAAACTTTTGTGATGAATTCAGAGGATGCCCCTCAGTGTGGTGCCCTCTGCAGCTGTATTTTACAATCTGTGCACGGCTTTTGACAGCTGCAGCAGCGCTCAGACCTTCAATGAACAGGTTTGATATCTTTGCGATCGCATTTAAGCGGTCGTGATGTGGTTAGACGTGTAAACGTGTGTAGTGACGGCTTTTACGTCCTTTTACCAGCCTTCTACTTCATGGATTTCACTGAGTTCACTTGGTTATTTAAGAACGTAACCCTGTGATAAAACGCCACTGTAAAATAAAGATTTGTACTTGTATTTTTTTTTTTTTTATTGAACTCACATTTACATTTATGTTTAAATTAAAATAATCTTTTCATTATAACAATAGATTTTTTTGTATTGACATGAAAAGCCTGACAAAAATGTTTAATCTACCCTGGTGGTAAAACCCTTCCGTACATGGTAGCTTGTGCTGTACTCAGGGGCATCGTCTTCCTGAAAATGAGGGCTAGCCTCGACTATCACAATGTGAAATATTTTCACATCAAACCGTGATGCTTGTGGCTGTGCTTACTAATGTGGTATTAAACATGCTGTGATCAGTCATTTGCTTATATTTTGTTCATTTGTTTTCAAATGAACAAAATACAAGCAAATTCAAACCTTCAAACAAGGTCAGACATCTAGGGGTAATACTGGACTCAGACTTAAATTTTACTAGCTACATTAAATCAATAACATCAGAAGCTTTTTACCATCTAAAAACCATTGCCAGGATCAAAAACATAGTTTCTAAAGCAGACTTGGAGATTCTTATCCATGCATTTGTCTCCAGTAGGTTAGACTACTGCAATGGCCTGCTCACAGGTCTGTCCAAACAGGCTGTAAAACAGCTGCAGTACATTCAAAATGCAGCAGCTCGAGTCCTGACTAGAACCAGGAAGTACGACCACATTAGTCCTGACTAGAACCAGGAAGTACGACCACATTAGTCCAGTTCTCAGGTCCCTGCACTGGCTTCCTGTGGCTCAGAGAATAGACTTTAAAACAGCTCTGCTTATGGACAAGTCTCTCCATAGCCTCGCACCAAAATATATTAGTGACATGTTAGTCCCATATGAACCAGCCCGGACTCTGAGGAGCACAGGGACTGGACTCCTGTTAGTGCCCAGAGTCAGGACTAAACATGGGGAGGCTGCTTTTCAGATTCATGCTGCTAAAATCTGGAACAATCTTCCTGAAGATGTGAGACAGGCCTCCTCTCTGACAATGTTTAAAACCAGGTTAAAAACAGTTCTGTTTAGCTGTGCATACAACTGAGGGATTGTATATTTTATATTTGTATCTTTCTTTTTAATTTACTGTGATTATTTAGGATTTTAATGCTATCTTATTGTTCAGCACTTTGAGTTGCCTTGTGTATGAATTGTGCTATACAAATAAACTTGTCTTGCCTGGCCTTGCCTTGTTTTGTAAAGCACTTTGAAAAGCTTTGTTCTATAGACCTACAGATAAACTTTCCCGTCAATTTGAATTTAGCCAAAAAAACCCTTGTAATTAAAACAACACACTACCCAGCCCTGGAAAATGCTTTGGCTAAAGAACACATTCTAATGCGCCTGAATACATATTAACACAAGAGACAACAAGACACAGAACAGTATGAATTACATTGGTATTTTGTAAACTTCTGGAGTGTTTGGAGTTGATCAGTCTCCTATTATAAACTACAACAATACCCTCACACTGCACCTCTCCCCATAGATCTATATTCGGGGTAACAGTGTCCCCCAACTGTTTGGAGCTGTGGAACACCTTCCTCATTGAAAACAATCCTGTTTGCGTGTCTATTTAATTAACAATTCAAAGTCATTCTCATCTAAATGTGTTGTATAGAAAATCAAACCAGTGAATACAAGTCTTTCTAATCTTCTTACATACATACTTCTTTTCACATTATTTTGACCAATGAAGTGATAGTAGGTCATTTCTAAAGGCACACGGACATGCCACGCCACACAGGTTGAGAAACACTGCGTTTTACCAGAAACAAAGTCTATGCACAATCAATATCCTATGTTTGTTTAATAACAATATGGAAACATACAGTTCCAAACTCGGAACAGTATGAAGTGCTTCTGTGTGTGGACAGATGTGATGGTTAATTGGCGGTCTCCATTACTGCCTTGATGTTTATGGATCTCACTGCTGTTATCCCTATATTTTAATCAAGTTACTTTGTGAGATTGGAGAGTGCCACTGGCTACCACATGACTTATTCAGAAGCACATGATACATAAGTTAGAATGATGCTTGAGTACATTTAATTTAAGTACCTCCATTGAACTATTATAATACTATATGGTAGAGTCTTAATTATTCTTGCTATTTTAATCCAACTAAAACACAGTGGATCAATGGTGAACATAATACCATCCTTTCCATATGCCTCTTGAGATTATGTGAAGTGGGGATCAGTTGAGTGTTTTACCTGTTCTTGTACACTCTGTAAATAGAGGCTCCCTGCTGACTGTTCAGTGTTTGTGTTACGGAAGACAGTGCGCGTGCGCCCTCTTGTGGATAGAATGTGTTCTATTCTATTCTGGTCAACGCAAACTGTCGGATTTACATGTTTTGTAAATGATGGTTACATGATGAGGCCAGCACTTAGCTTGTAGCATTTCGCTTTTGGAGACATCGTGTGACATCATATTGCTTTTAACTGAAAGTCAACCTATTCCAGGGTTAGGCCAGTGGCCTCTGTTAAACCGGGGCCTCTGACGCTCTCGGGTTCCCGGGTCTGTCCCATGACACTTTCCACTAGAACAGTTCTCTCACTGAGCACATTAAAGACAGCTGTCCTCCTCTCTCCCGGCCTGATGTCCTCCACCAGAGGGTTTCTTCTTGAAACTAGAAGTACTTGAATCCTACAGCGCAGCCGTAATCATCAGTGCACTGGGCAGAGCTCAGGCCACGGGGGCGCGCACAGGCGCGCGCATGGGAGGCGCAGTACATGTCTACTGTCCACTGTCCACTGTCCACTGTTCACTGTTCACTGTTCCACTGTGGCGCCGACGGCCTGGACACAGCGAGGGGAGCTGGTATGAGAGGTGCTGGGACTCATGTGTCTGCAGTGTCTGTGTTTACGCGATGACGCCGCAGTGCACGTAAGCTCCACAACACACGCGTTCATGAACTGGTCACGTTACGCGCTGCAGACGTTCGGCTCTGGTCACCTTCAGCGAGTGTTGCTCATTCATTCCTGGCATTGTGAGAAAGAGAGTTGGAGCCTTCTCCGGTGTTAGTGGTGTATGTCGAGCATTGTCACCTCCAACTGTGGCTCTGGGGCGTGGACAGCCTGAGACCTCTCAGCTGTAGCGTGTGGTCAGAGACATGTGATATTTCCAGTGTTGCTGACCACTCCAGAATACACAGCCACTGTCACAAGTGATAATCAGTGTCCGAGCACTGAGGGCAGCTCAGAGATAGTGCTGGAACCAAAGGAAGGACAGACTGCGTGATGATCTGTATGTTTTAAGTCCATATGTATAATGCCTGTACTTCTACATGTATGCATTGTTCTGACCTTTCCCTGTTTCTATTTCTAGGCTGATGACCGAGTTCCCTTGTGTGTCCAGGCTTCAACAACAGCCACATACATAGACCTGTACCTCTGCTTGTGTCCCTCTCTTCGTGAACTGCCAACCCAAGAGAATAATACTGGATTCTTAACTATAATCCCAGTTTGAACCTTGGCACTTCTGAAATGATGGAGTCCAACGGCTATGGCTACTACCGAGTGGTCATTTTCTTCAGTATGTTCACAGGATATTCCCTGTACTTCTTCAATAGGAAAACTTTCTCTTTTGTCATGCCATCTGTGATGGAAGAGATCAAGTTAGACAAGGATGATCTGGGTAAGAATTGTTTGGATTAAGACATTAATCCACTAAAACGTTTCACAACAGCAGTTCCTGTTTGGGAACTGGAAAGACCTAGTTTCAAAAGTATTAGTCCCTTAATCAAAAATCCTTTAAGCTCATTTAAATACATGATTTAATTGGTCCATTCTCGTGCATTTTACGAGTAACATTGTTGTGTGTTTGGGCAGGTCTGATAGCCAGCAGCCAAACTATGGCTTATGCCATTAGTAAGTTCATCAGTGGAGTCCTGTCTGACCAGATCAGTGCCCGCTGGCTTTTCTCCATCGGCTTGTTTCTGGTCGGAGGCATCAACATAGTGTTCTCCTGGTCCTCCACTGTGACCATGTTCTCTCTGCTCTGGTTTTTCAACGGTCTGGGTCAAGGCTGTGGGTGGCCCCCGTGTGGAAAAGTTCTGCGAAAGGTAACACCACAGTTCATGTCCATTAAAGGTGTTTTAGACTCACGAGGAAGTGGTAATAGTACAGCGCCAATTCACAATCATTTGTTCAATTTTTACAATCGTAATGTTCTTTCACAGATTTAAAACAAATACAAACAATAGCACACTTTTTAAGAATACGCAGACAATAAAGCCTCTGGGGAAGAGAAAACAACATATTTAGGTGAAGAATGAAAAGACTGGCAGGTGCAGAGCAGTAAAGGGCATCCAGTTACACACTAAAGTATTTTTAGAGCTTCCTCTGGGGGTCCGAGGGGATTCTCCTTCATGAAACAATCACTAAACAAAAGTTACATAAATAAGGTGAATATTCTACTCCAGTTTGGTTCAGACTGCATTATCACCCTGTATGTTACATGGTCTTTTCTCAATATTTGAGCTTACAAAGTGCCCCTGGCGTGTTCTTAAAAGAATGTTTGGCTGACATTTGTTTGATTGTATTGTTTTGTTGTATCAGTGGTGGTGGAAGTACTGCTTGCTGATAACAGAGATTAATATATCCTTAATTACATTTCAGTGTCGCATCACACGTTACAGACAGTAGGAAGGAGTAGCACACAGCACAGGATAAATTAATAATACAATCTCCATCTCTATGAAAACAATCTATATAAAATGTCTATATTTACCATAACAAGGAAAGAAGTCTCCAACTTTAGCATGATAAAGAAGCAAGTATAAAATGCTGTATACTCTAGTGTAAGTAATATATAATTGTACTGTCTGTGTACATCTGTACTTATTAGCAGCATACAAAGTGACTCAGTAAAGCATCGGTGACAGATGTGGTTGTATATTGCACATTCTGACATAGAGAGATGCTTCATGGTTTGTTTTGTAGCTCGCATTCTAATCATATTAATGAACAAATATTGAGTTGTCATTGATGTTGTCTCTCCCGATCTGTGCGTAGTGGTACGAGCCGTCCCAGTTTGGCACGTGGTGGTCGGTTATGTCCTGCAGCATGAATGTGTCGGGCAGTCTGGGGCCTCTGCTGGTCACTGTGCTGCTGCAGTACTACGACTGGAGAACCATCCTCTCCATGTCAGGCCTTCTGTGTGCGGCCTTCTCCTTTCTGTGCGTCGCCTTCGTGAAGAATGAGCCCAAAGACGTGGGTCTGGACAGCATCGAGGCAGCAACCAAGAAGAAGGGAGGTGGGAAGAATTTTAAAAACTAGTTGGAAATGTATGTCGTGGAATCTGTGCACAAGTGTGAGTTTATTCATTAGTAAATGCGCACATATACAATGAAAGGAGGAATCAGCAAATTACTAGACACTAAAGAGACATAAAACCATGAAGTCAGCATTGAGATGTGTGGTTCAGGTTTCCCTTTACGCTGCTGCAAATGTAAAAACGATCTTCTTGAAGACGATGACAAAGTCTGGGATCGCGTCTTTAATTCAGACAGAAGACATGTTTTATTGTCGATGGTAGAGACAGCACGAACAACACAAACAACAGAATGCAAGTGTATTATACAGAGCGGAGGCATGGAGACCTCCAATCAGCAGCTGCCACAGTGCCATGTAGCTTGGCCTTCAGATAGACAAAACAAGGGAAAAGTACTGGCTTCTGCACATTGATAGAATGATGAGCTTAACTTTAACAAAAGTTGCTTCAAAGTGTTATGAAATCTCACATTCTCTTTCCAGGATGTAGTGACACATATTGCCTAAGACATGTCTCCCATCTAACAGAACAACAGATAAAATGGGCTGTATTTGAGGAAATGGAAGAGTTTGAGGATTAGTTAATAACATACTCTTATAACTATTTGATGTAAATTCAGATTGCTTTGCCATAAGATTTCTATAACACGTACAACATCTGTACTGAGCCTCAGCGCCTGCTCCTGCGGTTCAATTGCATTCATTTTTTGTAAAGCCCTAAAACAACAGTAGTCGTCTTGGAGGACTTTACAAAGGTGTTTATTCACTAACAACAGATCAGAGAATCAAACGGTTCGAACACTTTACTGAGTCACTTTGTCCCAGACCCTGAGGCAGCTAACATGTACAGATGTATACACACAACTACATATTACTGCACTAGAATACTTTTAAGAATTTTACACTTGCTCCTTTTATAATGCTAAAGGGTTTTGGAATTCAGTCTTGCTTCTTCATCATAGTAAGTTAGTAAGTAAGTAAACTTTATTTATAGATTTATAGATAAAAATCACAAAGTGCTGTACAAGGTCAAAGCAGATATGTACGGTATATACAATAGAAATAAGAAAAAATAGAAAATAACATCATAAAAAGAAGAAATTGACTAAAAGCTGCCCGAAAAAGAAGTATCTTTAGTCCCTTTTTAAAAGCATCGGCAGAGTTGACCATACGGAGGGACAGAGGCAAAGCGTTCCACAGTCTGGGGGCCACGGACTGGAAGGACCGGTCCCCCCGGGTCTTATAGCGGGTCTTCAGGACATCATCATGCTAAAGTTGAACACAAAATAATGCATACACAACATAATATTTTTACTGTAAAAAGTACAGAAACATGTTCAAACTCTCCCAACAACACTGTTCATCTTGTCTCCTTTGTAGATTCAGTTACTAGTCTTGTAAAAGGAATAATGTCACAATTTTGGACCATCTTGCCTAATTATTTATTCATTTATTGCTGCGTAAATATAAATAACTGCTCCCATGTCCAATTATTTGTCTAAAGCCCTATGCATCAGATTTTTTAACACATTTTAGTTCATTTTTCTCAAAATATCTACAGTTATTTGAAAGTTTGTTAAAATTATCTTGTTTGAGTGCTTTTTTTCTGTCCTATAATGCCTGTATATATTATGCCTATAACACAGACAGGTTTGAATCACTGGAGTACAAAGTTTTCAGCTGTTAACAAGCATACATTCTTTATCTTTATCTACTACATCTTTCTTTTCTAGGAAATTGTGAAAGCACTTTGAAGGAATTCCTCCTCTCTCCTTTCCTATGGGTGCTGTCCCTTGGGTACTTGGTGGTGTTTGGTGTCAAAACTGCTGCTACTGACTGGGGCCAACTATTCCTCATGCAGGAAAAAGGCCAGACTGCTCTCATGGGTAAAGGATAATCATGATCAAGGTCAGCATACAGTGTGACGAACAGTATGTGTTGAATTCATGCACCTGTGTCTGTAGGGAGTAGCTACATGAGTGCTCTGGAGGTGGGAGGTTTTCTGGGCAGCCTTGCATCAGGATTGATTTCAGACAGAGCTGTTGCACGAGTAAGTTACAGCTTTTGAGTAACAACGTCTTGTTTATGTTGATCCACTAATACTCTGATTAAATGAGAGTAGAAAGGCTTGAGTACTCATGGAAACCCTCGCCATGGGCTGCTGCTTCTGATGATGGCTGGCATGTATGTGTCCATGTACCTGTTCAGAGTCACTATCACACCAGACATGGCACAGGTAATGGAAAAAACTAAAATCAAAATCATTTCTGCTCGAGTGTAGTAGAGTAATGGTAATTTTGTTTTTCCTTTTGCAGGAGCCACCGCTGTGGTTTCAGCTTATTCACCCTTTCTCATTGTTGAGCGGCATTTCAGAAAAAGAGGTGAAGAAAATATTTGTGGGTCTGGGGTTGTGTCACAGACAGAAGACATTTATTGATGTCACAAAGAGACACATCCAAAGATTTTCATCATATGATTTTAAACTAGAGGAATCAAGGTCCTCCTCTAGATGACGGCGTTATGCTAGTGCGACCTTCAAATAACCAGAACGTTCAGGTGGAAAATCACCAGCTCCTGCATAGTATTAGAAAGACAAGCTTAGGTTTAAACTAAATTGCTTCAAGAAGGTTTAACCTATTTCAGTGTGGACTGCTGTAAATCCATGCTGTGGTCATTACAATATTCTCGTCTCGTTCACAGATCTGGATACTGCTTCTGGGAGCTTTGTTTGGATTTTGTTCTTATGGACCAATAGCCTTGTTCGGTGTGATTGCCAGTGAAAGTGCTCCTTCAAACTTCTGTGGGACCTCTCATGCTGTTGTTGCACTGATGGCCAATGGTAAAGGTGCTCAGAGTTCCTACCGGCTCTTTAAAGTCTTAAAGGCATTTCATTTATACAGTTGTAAATAATACCTTGAACAAATATGTACACTATTTAACTTCTCCATGCTGCTTTCTCCTCAAAAGTTCTATTTGTCAAGTAAAGAGTGCCCCAGGTCTGAACGTGTCACTTTGCTACAGCACTGAAACACAGACACAAGCGGCCGCAAGGGATAATAAAAACTTAAATTCTCTTAAATTAATTGATAACAAGTTAACTGGACTTGAAGAAACCTGTGGAACCCTGTGGATTGTTCGGACACAGTACGGTTTGATTATGTTGTAAGCACTCTGTGTGTTGCAGTGGGGGCCTTCATGGCCGGACTTCCCTTCAGCACCGTGGCAAAACGACACAGCTGGGACACGGCCTTCTGGGTGGCCGAGGTGGCGATGGGTGTTTCTACTGTTTGCTTCTTCCTTGTCCGCAACATGCGCACCAAAATGGGTCCAGACGCTAAGAAGACTGAGTAATGTATGGGTAACCTGCTCCCATACTCATTCATACTGTTGTTGGTGTCATTCTAGCTGTTTTTATAAGGATGACTCAAAGCTGCTACAAAAAGCACTTGTTTATACGGTCTTACACTTTGGAATGCTTTAATGTTATTTAAGAGAATGTTTGTACTAAAGTCTGTACTTTATCACACACTGTAAAATAGTAAAATAAGATATTTCAACGTTATATATTTTGAATTAAAGAAAGTAGTTAATATGCCTTTTGTTAGAACAGAATGTTCTTTATTTTTGTTTACGATTGTTTCCATTGTCTTACTAAGCCATTTGGTTCATTCAAAATACAAATGATGTAAACTGCAATAAATTTCTGAATGTAAATCCAATCACTCTCACTGTTTGGATCATTAGTTGTTGAACAACTTCACACTCCTGATTACAATAAATTGTTAGCCACAACAATTACAAATACATTTCAAAAAAACAGTTCAAGTGAAAAGGCACTTTATCAGCTGATAAAAACTTTCAGACCAAAACTGCTCAACACTTGATTTAATTTCTTGTCTGTCATTCACACAATAATTGTGATTCTCCCCATAATCTATTGATGGGGAGACATAAAGAAGCTTTCCCATGTGAAATGAAGGATCAGATTGTTTAGTGACACTGGGCCCAGATGAAGGCAGGTACTGGAGCCGGTAGAACAGAAACCTCTTCAAAGGACTGTCTGTTTGACCTTTACAAAAATCAGACCTTTCCTGAAATTACCCTCTCATCCTACCACCAAGACCAGTTGATAATAAAGATAAAATAGAGACTGGTCTAAATACCATGATCAAAGCATGGATCCTATTTATGGTTACATTTAACAGTTTGCTAACACCAAATAACAGTAAAGGGCAGATGTATCACTGATCGATGAGTTAGAATAGTTTTGAGAGTACATGTGGATTTTAAAGGAAATTGACATTGAAGACTTGGTCAGATTTGTTATAAACTTAATCGGCCCCAGTTTCGGTTTAAGAAGCGCACCATCCTTGTTAAAAACCAACATGAGTACATACTTCATATGCGTCTTTTAATATGAAAGAATAGTTCCATGGTTTTTATAGTTGCAACTGTCCATGGTGCTGAAGCTGGATGTATTTGAACTTAGGTTTTCCCTGAGTTTTGTTGTTTACGTTCTTTATGTTAACAAGACCATAGCAAATGTGAAATCAAAGCAAAACGATATATGATTTCATTTAGCTTTTTAAGAAAAAAATCTTAATACAGGATGATTCTTGGATGGAAAGCTGCTGAGTCTGGAAAAGACTTGAGACTGGGGAGGATGTTAACCACCTAACCCTAACCCACCAACATAAGGTTAATTTACCGTAAACATATAGCCTAAAGTTTAAGCGTAAAGGCGCTTACATGAAGACCTGCTGCTGTAAATGCAATTCGCCAATAGCTCATAGAGGATGAACACTTTTAAAAAGCCCCATTTTTTTCATAACTCAAATGTATGTTTTACTTTGCTTCCACTTCACATTTGTCTACCACATTTTGGGGCTCCTTGCATCAGTAAATGACAGATACAATATCTCACTACTTTGTCAAGCCACCGTAATTCTTCGGGTCAGGTAACTGATAGTCCATGTGGGAGATGGCGGGGAAACAGGTAGAACAATGAGGGGCACTGTTGGGCCATACACTTCCCCACTCGTGCCTTAAATCTGATGAGCAATTACTAGTTCTTACAGACTCCAGTGGCAGATTGGCAGCCACACAAGTGTCACTCTGCCCACTTGTGGCTTACAACCACCGCCTTAAATAAGTGGGCATGTGAAGAGCATAGCATTCACATGATTACATGTCAGGATCATTTCAATATCATTTTATCGACTTCTTTACTTAGATAAGTCACAATACATTAGGACCCAGTAGTCAGCACATACTTCATGTATGCATGGTTTAAGTCTAAAACTCTGAAAACATTAAGTTATTCAAAAGAATAACTGTCTTAACTCTCAGTGTGTACTATGACATGTGTTGACTGGGCTGTTCTACCTTTAGTGATACTAAAATAATTAAAAAGCAATCTTAGGAGACTGCTTTTATAACAATATTGAAGTGTTACTCTCGTTATGTTATGACTGCATACAGAGAAGACGTAAGCACTTATATTCACAGCAGCTATACAGATTTATTGCAATGCTATCACAAAACACACAATCCACACAGGTGATGCACATTTCTGACAGAAAGCTCCAGCACTAGTATTTTAGCTTTATTGACCAAATTATTAAGAAACTGCATGAGTACAATAGTTAACATAGAGGAACAAAGCTTACAAACATTCTAAAACACTGTTTCTTCATTATAAACAACAAAACAATGAGTTGCCCTTTGTCCATCATCCCCTCCCCAAAACAGATGACATACACTGTCCCTTATAAAGCATATGGAATGTAGTCCTCTCTGGAAAGCTCCATCTGCTGCTGTCCAGCTCCGACACAGTAACCCGTCCCCTCCCTCCCATCCTTCACATTTACAACTGAAATGAAAACCACTGCTAGAACTGCAGGTTTTATGGCGTTGAAAAACGGGGAGTTGATGAAATTCCCGTCACCAAAATGACTTTTTTTCTTTCAATAAAAAAAAAAAAAAAAAAAAAAAAAAGAGTTCTCTATAATCCAACTACTAAAAAACCTGTATTTAGAAAATAGTTGATAAAAATATTCCCCTGAATTGTACAAGAAAAGAGGTACAGGGAGCACTGGTAAAAGGTGGTTTGAGCGATGTTATTCATCAGCATCATCTTTCTGTTCAGCGTCGGCGGCTGGTGCCTGGAGGAAAGAAAATGATAAATACAGGTTAAAAAAATGCATTGTGTGTAACAGTGAAAGACAAAACATATATGCTAAGAAATATACAAATAGTGAGAAACACAAAATAAGAAGAGGCTGAAGAATAAAGAAATAATAGAAACCTTACAGTTCAAAGAAACCTCAAAAGGCTTTTGAGGACTACAAAAATACTAAATACTTCAATGTTCTTTGAGGTACAACAGATATACGACCAATAACTACATTATACTATAAATTACTTACAACTAAAAGGGTACAAATACTAAAAACTATAAAAGTCCTGAGTGAGGATCATGTATGTGCCGAGGCTCACCTCATCTTCAGCTTTGGCTTCTCCGTTCTCTGTAGGCGCCTCTGGTTCTTTCTCCTCGGGCTTGGCCTTCTCTACATCCTTGGTTTTCTTGGTCTTAGCAGCGGCCTTCTTCACACAAACAGTACAAGTTTAGAAATGTGGTTTGAGGACAAAAAATACAGTATTCAAGTAAAAATGAACTAACCTTCGCCTTGGCTTTAGGCGCCGCTTTGGGCTCTTCAGGTCTCTTGAGAAAGGAAATAAAACATGCTTTTATCATGTAGCATAAGACACTTTGATTATTATATTTGTTGACACTTACATCTTTCAACCTGAGAGACCTCCTCTTGGGCTGCGAGATAAAAAAAAAGGAAAACATTTATTTTCACTGCGCTCGGCTGCCTCCTAGTGGTACTAACAAAGCATTACAGTACTTGAGACTACAGATATATTTCTTACCTCTGAATCGCTTGCTGCGGCTGTCTGAAAACAAACAAAGACAACATTATTAGCAACGTTATTTTGCTTTTCATTTGATATGACTTGTGATGTGTCGAGGTATACTAAAATACCACAGGTGCGCGTTTCTACAGATGTTACGTAAAACACAATAAATAAATAATTCTGAAATGATTATTTGAGTTGGATATTCATGGAGTACTGTGGTTAATCATTTTAAACGAGTGAGAACACTTTCCCTGCCTCCCACCAGCACCAAAGCTACAGTCACCACTGGTAGAAGAGGGGATTGCAGGAGCAGGAGGAGGGAAAGCAGGAGTGTTCCCGCCATTGGTTTGAACAGAGCCATGTCGATCCACAGCAGAATCTACGAGAGCCCAGCAACAGGAGCAGCCTGTGCTGACGGAGATTCGCCATTGCATAACCTGCAGTGGCCTGGGCTGCAACAAGGGCACGACAAACGAACAATGCAAAACAATAACGCCATTATAAAAGAAAGACCGCGCGTAATGCACAGAGCAGCCGTGAAAGGGCCCTCAAGCAATGAACGTATATTACAGTGTTAGTACCCCATTGTAACACCAGCAGCCGCGCAAACATAAAAGGACAATTGTAAAAAGGAGACGCGGAAATACCCCAATTTGTCATGTGAGAAACTAACGCGAGACGGCACCGTTTGAAAAAAACAAGATACCGCCAACTTTCTCTGCAGAAAAGCGGCCATCGATCCTAGTTACTTTACGCACTGGGCGGCAAGAGAGTGAACCCATGTAAATCTGCCACTAATGCAAATGTGAACACGGGAAATGCACTAAAACGATCTGGGAACAGCAGATAATCACAGCACGAGATAAGACTGAGACAAACCACTTCGCGAAATCAAAACAGACTCCATGATCCAACGCTCCAGCTCAGGTGATGCACACAGCTCTGTCCACGCTCCATGAACCAGCAGCGACATGAAACACTGTTATTAGCGCTCCGAGTCTGAGAATGCGGAGGAACCGAATAAATAAATATGATCGTGTACTCACTTTGCTCCTCTTAGGCATGGTTGGTTTGTGTAGGTGCTTAGTAGAAAAGGAGAATCAAGCACAGTTTGGGAGGACACGGAGGGAAAGTCAGTCTATTTGAGTATAGGCTGTAGCAGTACAGTGTAATACAGCGCAGCGAGACGCTAATGTTCCATTGGGAGAGAAACTAGCTCAAACCGGATTGGATTCTCCCCCTCCCTCCTCGCGCACAGTGTTATAGGCCCAGTCTGATTGACGGGCCTATGTCCCGCCCCCACAAGCACCTGATTGGCTGAGACCAGCCACAGCAATACAAATTCAAACGCTGGCTCCTGCCCGTGTGGGTGCTGGACACGCCACTCATCTCATGGGGAGGACTATTTGTCTTTTCTGTGCAGCCATCTGCTCTGTCAAGAAGAAAACCAAAATGTCTCGGACGCTGCTTTCCTTCTCGCCCATACACAGCATCTGAAGCAAATGTAGTGCAAACAAAACATGATGTGCACGTACATAAGGCATTCTCCACCCTGCGGACGGTCCGTGTGCAGACCCAGGGGTGTGCGCCTTTTAAAGGCTTTGTACTTAAGTAGTAAAATGGCGCACAGTCTGATGTGCTACAGCCTACTGTAACCTGTTCACTTGTCCACAGTGGTCAGACTGAGCGCAGCATGAACGTGAGGCGGGTGTAATAACTATGGGTGTAATACATAGACTGTAAGATTAGGTGTAATGGCGCTAGACATAGACTGCCCCACAGAGGGGAACGCAAACATTGCAAACAAAATGCACTAACAAGACTGAAACTCAACTGAGTTCGCCATTGTCGAGTGTCTTGGTTTGTCCAATGTTAGGTCCATAGAAGTATAACTGCATCTTTCTATCAAGGCATATTATAATGGTCAAACTAAACTGACGGGTTCCAGTGTCATTTGTGGGTTTTCTACCCATTCAATATATTATATAACCACCAATATTTAAACCATAAACCTATTATTAACCAAAGTAATGATAGGCTAACCACGAATGCCCCTACAACATGTTTAGCCTATATCCACTTGTAGGATTTCACAGTAAAATGATATTTCCTGTAGAACAACATTTGACAACAATCTGACCACACAAACGCTTTGTATTTCAAGTGTCCACACTGGCAACAAGGTTAATATACCAGAGCTTTGATGTGTATTTGATTAGAGCTTTTCTATAATATTGTAGCCTAGGCTGCATTTATGAAAAACATTGTGTGAAATGTGCATTTGAGAAATAGAATGGGAGGAGGCATCTTTAATGATTTTTGTTTATAAATCTTGTAAACTTGAAAATATCAAAATTAAGTATGAAACAAAATATAGTTATATGAAACAAAATATAGTTTCATATAACTACTATGTTTAAAACTAAACATATTATGAGACATATTCATCGACTGGATTCGAGCTGTTCAGAGCTATGAACAGCTCAAGTTGTCTCGATGATGATTGCTTATTTTCTCACTTTCTATTAGCTTGCCACTTGCCACTAACAAGAGAATTATTGATTAACCTCACGTTTATATTGGCAAAGCATAATGTGTGCCCCAAAAATACATTCTATGGAAATATGAATCGACTTTCCAATATTAAGTCAGTCATCTTTATTTATTTAGCGCCTTTCACAGAAAAGGGTCACAAAGTGCTTTACAATTGTGGGCATTTGTCTCTCACTCCACACAGAGGGGAGCCATAAGAGGCACATGCCAGATCTATTGTACATGTTACAAAGGGGAAACCGGAGCACCCGGAGGAAACATACGCAGGTACAGGGAGAACATGCCAACTCCACTGAGAAAGGCCCTGTTCCAACTGGGATTCGAATGCAAGACCTTCTTGCTGAGAAGCGAGAGTGCTATCCACTCAGCCACTTGCCACATTAATTATATTAATGTTTTTCTCAAGCCCTACTTCAAGTTGACAGTGGCTCAGTTGGTAGAGCATTGGCCTTTGAGTCTGAAGGTTGTGAGCCCACCACAAGACTTTCTCCACTGACTCCCACTGTCTGCTGTCGTTGTGTCCTTGGCAAGACACTTAACCTCTGGGAACACCAGGTGCCACAGTGGGGCGGCTGCGGCTGTAAAGTGCCAAACTGCCGTTGTGTCCTTAGGCAAGGCATTTCACCCCCATTGCCTAGAATGAGTCTGGTGTGTCCGTGAATGGTTGGTGGTTGTCGGAGGGGCCGATGGCACATACTGGTTGCCTCGCTTCTGTCAGTGTAGTGCCTTCTGTCGGGGCAGCTGTGGCTACAGTAGAAGTTTTTCAGCACCATGTATGGATTGAAAGAATAATGACATGTAAAGCGTCTTTGAGTGTCCAAAAAAGCCCTATATAAAATCTATTCATCAAGTCTTTACTGTATAGACCAATATACAGTAATACTATTTTAGGCCTGAATTGAACTAAATTACAAACTCAATTAATCAAAACTTGTGAGGATGGAACTACTGCTGGACACAGAGGCAACTGGAGCTGTGGCTCTTCTCCAAATGCCCAAGTGCAGACGGCTTACCAACCTGTGGAGCTGCATCGAGCCCTGTTTGAATCACCGTTATTCTGTCTGTCTGTGGGTGGTGATACAGGCGACAGGAGGTTAGTGCTCTTGCCTCAAGTGTGACGTTTGTATGTTCTCCCCATGTGTGTGCAGCTTTTCCTATGGGTGCTCTAATACGTTAAACATTAAAACATATCAAAGTATATACAAACATATACAGTATATATATATATATATATATATATATATATATATATATATATATATATATATATATATATATATGTTTGTATATAACATATATACAGTATGTATATGGGGCAACAGTAGCTCAGTTGGTAGAGCATTGTCCTTTAGGCCTGAAGGTCGTGGGTTCGATCCCACCTTGACACCTTCTCCACTGATTCCCACTGATGTCTGCTGTCGTTGTGTCCTTGGGCAAGACACGTAACCCCACTTTGCCCAAAGCCCCCGCTGAAAGATCAAGGCTATGCTCACACTGACAGAGCAGCCGTCCTCCTGTGGACTCACCACCTGCAGGAGGATAAGTGAGGGGCTGGTGCTATGTGACTTGGGTGGCATCTGTGATTGCCACCACCCCGACCCAGAAATGGATTAAGGGGTAGAAAATGGATGTATATGTAAATATAAAAGTTTTGAATGTTTCCACTTTTGTATTTATTTTTTACACCATCAGATAAGCACCACAGATAGATATGCACTAATGGGTGGGAATCAATATAACTAGATATATTCAATACTTCATCCAAATTACTTTTTCATTGTTTCTGTAAAAAGTAGAGTCCAAGTGAATAAGTTTGTTGTAACTGTAAAGATGACTCTCGTACATGTGAGGGCAGGCAGTGGGGGAGGGGAAGACATTAGGTATAGGTCTCATGTAACAATGCTCTTGTTGTATGGAGTGGACTGGAGGAGTCCTTCCATCACAGCTGCTGCACAAGGCTGGTCCTTCGCGCCTGTTCTCTTTCCTGTTTTCCTTTTTGAGCCAGAGGTGGCAGCAATGGTTCAGTGCAGAATGCCCCTACAATGAGCTGAAGTTCATTTACACATCTTATTATTGTAACTGGAGCATTCGCAGACCAGCAATGGTCTAATCCTGCACAGTGACAGGCTGGAAGTAAAGGTGACCTCATCCAAAGCCTCTTTGACAGAGTGCAACTTGTTCATTCTTGCGTCACATATGCCACATGTCAGGAGCTGTTGTTTAAATCTTATCGTGCAGGAGCAGGTGAAGGCAGCTGTGTTTTCTGTCTGTGGATAAAGCCAGTTACACAAGTCCAGTCTGCAATAGATCAGTGGGACACAGGGAACGACTCTCCCTTATGCACTTAAGTGGATTTCAGTCATGCAGCGAACGGCAGCTTCCATATGGACTGGAGGGAAAAGCCAGATTACTGCCGATCATGCGAAGGGGTGAAACGGCACCAGAGTTCACAGCACGGGCCTTTGGCCTTTATGAACTGACTCAAAGACAGTTGTCAGGAATGAACCAGACAGAGACGGATCGTGGTGCACCAAACTCTGGAAGTTTATTTAGGTTTCTCTCAAGTTCCAGTGGTTGCTGATGTTTCTTTCTCTCAGACCAAAATGGAGTCCGTACATGTTATATAGTCATTGTAACGTCACACATCGAAAGACATATGTGTCACTCAGAGACACACAGAGCAAATCATAGTCATAACATGAATGCACAATCAAAGTCATTGTATAGTCTTGCAGTTGTCCTGCACGTAGGCCATATAGCTATCTAATCCTCACACAGTGATCAGCTCTGAAATTGTTGTTTGTGTGTTAGCTGCTGACTTCTGATGACTTCTGATGATCATGATTATGTTTATGAAACTAACTGGACTTCCTTTAACAAACATGTAAGTGTATTTGCTCTGTCAAAGGAGCTGGGTGTGTGCATGACCTTAACACTTCGGTTTGTGTATGAGCTCATTAAGGCAACACGCCTTATAAGCTCACCAACAATAAACCTAGTCGGCTTTGACCATTGATTAGCCGTCAGCTGACACAACAAAAACAGATCCCACAAAAGGGATTAATGCATGCTCTGAGGGCAACTGTATGTTTTGGGGCCCATTCTGTGCTGCCAGATAAGGGACCAATTGGATGGAACTAATTTGTAGCTGAGAACAATAGGCTGAGACAATGGCATGGGTGAATCTTTGCAAAGTCAAGCAGCAGCCACTGAGCCTTCAGTATGATGAGTGGCTGATGATCTCTGACTCAGTGGTGGCTGCGGAGACCTCCAAAACTGGCCAGCCATATGCTGGGGATAAGGGGACCCTCCCCCACTATCTACTTCCTGTTTTTCAGAGATGTCTGCTTGCTTCTGCCTATACAATACCAGCTGTGTCTGGAGACATTCCAGTTTGTTCTATGGTCACATAATGCATGGTTCTGCACCCAGTGCAGCATGAAGACAGCACATGTCCAGCTTTTCAACTGTTCCCAATCCAACAAATCCTACCGTGCTCCACTAGACATACACTTATGTTTTGTTTTGTTTTGTTATAATTTTATTTGTATATATTAGTTTAACTATTTGGTTTAAAACAATTATATCAGTGCATGTCAACATTCAACATTTTCAGACACAGTGCAATCTTTTTTCAATGCCACTTTATTTTACTGTTTATCAAAACACAATAATTTAAATTTTTGATAACACATGATTGTAAACACAAACTACCAGTCCAATTGTCTAGTGGCGCAACAACAAATGTCGATGGCGCCAAATGTATAACTTCAAGCAGGCTTTATGTATCTGTATACAGTCTGAATTTACATTTACCATAGACTGGAAATAGAATTTACGGACATACAGCGACATCTAGTGGCTGTTTGTAAAAACTACTGAACTGAGTTTTTACGTGGTTTCTCTCGCAGACAAAGTGATGCAGATGACACATGTTAACCCTTTAGGCTCCAAACAGAATATAGGTTAAGCCCTGGAACTGTATAAAAGATACAGGACTACTACAACCAATAACAACTACCTAAAGGGTTAAACTGTAAATGACTCAAACAAATAATACATGTGTGATGAATCTCATGTGTGCTCATCGGAGACTCCCTACTCACGCCCAGCGCTTGTGACGTCACACAGGGCCCAGGATCATAGGCTGAGCGCACAAAGAAAGCAGATAAGAGCAGTGTGAAAGGCTGCACTTGAACCTTGCTCTCTTTGAGTTTCACACAGGTGCAGTGCTCTGCTCACCTGTCCATTCAGGAAATGAGAAGCCGAGCCCCACATTCAGCCCTGTAAGTTCAACTCATCTGTACTAATCACTTTTTATAGTTAGTTGTTGTTACAAATGTGGATAACGTGTTAATTGATGGTTTCATACGCTCAAAACCAGAATGGAAAATAAAACAACAAACATTTAGTTAATAGGTATTAAGGTATTATTCAGCTATCACATATTGAATGTCTTTGTGAACACCTTTCTTATCTCAAGCAACATAACATAAATAATTTGAGTTGTCAAAAAAAGCATTATGAAATTGTCGTTCTAGAAAATCAACACAAGCATGATTGTGTTCTGGAAAACTTGGTCGTCTCTTCATCATTACTGGTTGCTGCTGCTTTCAACCGGAGGTAAGATGTTATTAGTTGTAAGATAAAAGTACAAGAAATAAGAAAAAGCATTTAACAGAAAGAATGAACATCTGAAGAGTTAATTTGCAAAAACAGTTTTGTGCCATTTGAATAAAATAGGAAAAGGCTTGCAATATACGTTTAACAAGTAGTTTTATGAAAAGTCAGATCTATTTTAGAGCCTTACAAATACATTGCAACACCTTCTTATGTACTGCCAATTACTAAACATGTGGAGATTTTAGAGAGAGGAATACAACATTTTGGCTAATAAACGGAGAAATTCACTCTTTGTTTTTATTTCTGTTTCATCTGAGAATTAAATATAATTTGTATATTTGTATTGTGTTGTCTCGTTCTGAAAAACCATTTTGTGGGGTTCCCTGTAGAAATTAACCTTATAAAGATGTTACTAAGTAGAATGTTGCCACAGTTACTACAGTGTGTCATAATAAAACAAGCCATCACATACAAGATAAAAGAATCCATTTGCCATTTGCAGTAAAACCACATTGGAAAAACTGTGCAAGACTACCCCAGTGTGCACCAACTACCCCAGTGGCATTACTGTCACCAAGAATCCAAAGCTGTCATTTATTTCTAAAACTAAGTTATTTTTCCCCTATCGCTGGAGATGTTTTAGATGTCGCATACTTTCCCCCCCAGGTATTAGATGTGGGATAAAGTTTTGTGGAACCAAAACACAACGTAAAGATTAAAACAATCGATCATGTCACCATTGCGACTGTTAAATTCTAATTTGTAATTTTATGCCTTTTTGTTTTACTTTTGCACCGAATAATGTGTCATAATAATTCGTACGTTTTGTTCTTCAGCTGTTTTGGGCCAGTTCCAGTTGGAGCCTTTAAATCTGACCAAGCTCCGAGGTTCTGAGGCCAAGTTCAACGCCACCGTGCTGGGGCCCTGGAGCTTCATGACCTGGACGCTGGGTGACCTCCTGGTGGTCACGATGCCCTCCGTAGGCAACGCCACGTCCTCCTCAACGCGGTTCTCTGCACGGCACTGCAGCGGTGGGAGCAGTTGTGTGGAGTTTACTATTCACGGCGTCACACGGCAAGACTCCGGCCCCGTCATCTGCGCCGTACAGGGGGATTACGGGGCCAAGACGGCACAGCTGTACGTCCAAGGTGAAGCTCAGACTAAAACCCCTCACACTCCTCACCTATTTTCTTCTAAAAAGGCAGAAACTATCTGTAGTCTGAAAAATGCTGGATGTTTGGTTTGGTGGAGAGGCGAGGGAAGGGGGGGAGTGGTTTCGAGTTGGTGCTACGGCTAAGCTAACAACATCGCTTACTGCATCTTAAGCTTAAATTCATCCCAATAATATTTTCCAATAAGGTTTGATTAATATCCAATACAATATTTCTAGCCCCATCATTCCCCCAATAGCGTTAATACATATGGATGCAGTTGTTATTTTATAAACATTTAAGTTACTTTCAAAAGCGTTTCTTCTTAGTGCCATCTATGACATATTCTGAATCCTCACATATCAATAGCTGCTGTGCTTTGGCTGCTCCTAATTAAGACGTCCATGATCATGAAGTTATTCTTTCCTACGCTGCGAAAGCTGTGAACACGGCTCATGAATCCATTTAATAGAGCTGTCAGGGAAGTCATTGATTGCTTTTGTACGAGGGCATGCTAATGGGGCTCTCTAATAACAAATACACAGGGAAAAAGTGCTCAGTAAAACACAGTGCATTTCAAGGACACCTAAAAATAACATATTTGTGCAGAATCCATCAAAGACAAACTTCAATGTATTTTTCTCTTCTTTAAAACATAAAACATAAGCTATATACAAAAAGATTTTATTTTTTTTCCAAAGCTTGTCAATGTCCCCCTCATTAAACAGTAGGCAGTAAACTGTGGGGTGCAATAAAATTTCTAAATATCCTCAACACATTTCACTGTTTTTACTTTATTTGACACACAATATTACATTTTCAGTGAACTAGGCAGATAGATAAAATAAACAAAAATGCATACACGTCTTCTAAAAAGAAATATTCTATTGCTTAAGTTTAGTCATTGTGTCTCATACCATAAGCAGAAATCCCATCCAGCAACCTAGGTAAAGTTTTATTCTTAATTATTTTTTACTTTGGGTTATTTTGGTGCACAAAGGACACATAGGGAGAAGGGAAAGGGATAAAATGTGTGAAATAAGATAAACGATGTTGTGTACATGATGTAATGAACATGTACTGTATGTGATCGACACAATAAAAAAATACATTAAACTGAGAAATGTAAACTCGACTAAGCTGAGGTACTTTCCCCCATAAATAAAAGTATTATTTTGTGAAGACCACAACATGCTGTCTTCTCTATTAGAATTTTGAAAACATTTTGAACACCCTAATATTTCACACACTGGGCTGAGAGCTGATTGGCTGACTGAGGGTGGTTCTCTCTTTTTCACCTTTCCGTCTGAAAGAGCTGACGTAAAGATGCAGTAGAGGCAAAAAATACATGCATGTAAAAACTCGAGATTGTACAAAACTGCTTGAGAGCTCGATGACTGAAAATTAAGACATTTTGTTGAGGTTTTTAAGTTAGGTACCTTAGCCATGAAAATACAGTTTCAATTCCAGTCATTTTAAGATGTTGTTTTTGGCCATAGAGAGCGGCCGCACCAGCATCCTGGGAGGCGACCGCACGGTGAACCAGGACGAGCAGGTGCAATTCCAATGTGAGGCCGCTGGATGGTTTCCCGCGGCGACCATCAGCTGGACTCTCAACGGACACTCGGTGAACAGCAGCCTGGTCAACACCACTGATGTCGCACACGGGACCACCTACAACTCCACCAGTGTGCACCAGTTTCAAGCCAAACGCAACACCACAGTGACCTGCCAGGCCACCGTACCAGCGCTCCAAACTCCCATCCTGAGCTCCGTTACACTCGTGGTTGGTGAGAATCAATCATCATTAACATTTATTGTTAAAGAAGCAATATGTAAGATTTTCAGGTCAAGTCATCAAGGATCACCTTCCCTATTCAGATATTTTTTTTGTCATTGAGGATGTCTCTTTTTTTGCTATGATTATATACATGGGTGTATTTCCTCTGAAAACTCTAAAGGACTTTTGGAGACAGTTCAAACTACTGAATTTGCCATATCCACAGAGAGTCATGTCAAGTAGAAAGTTTTTCAAAATGTGCAGATGTTTACATATTTCCAGTCCAGAGGCGGATGCACAGAATGAACTGGAACCCCAGACTACGTACGATAGGCTAGGAAAGATAAAGCCACTTTATGGATAAATTGTGGAAATGTGTCGAGCTAATTTCCACCTGCACCAAAATATTGCTGTTGATAAGCGAATGGTCAAGTCCAAGGCGATAATTAGTCTGAAACAATTTGTAAAAAACAAACCAACCAAGTGGGGCTACTCTGTAACTGGTTATACCTGGAACTTGTTTGTGTACGAGGGAAAAGCTGCAGATTGATCTCTTTTATGCAGCTGATGGACATAGACCGTCTTGGTACTGGGTACCATCTTTATGTTGATAATTTTTACACAAGCACTTATTTGTTTCGAGATTTTCTGGCACGAGGCATTGGTGCCTGTGGCACAATGCGTCAAAATAGAGTGGGCTTTCCTAAAACAACAATAAATGCACTTGGAAAGAGAGAACAAAGGGGAGCTATGAGGTGGGTTAGGGACAGGGAACTTCTGTTTGTGAAATGGATGGACACACGCGAGGTGGTCATGTGTTCCACCCAGTGGGGGCGGGTCCAAGAAAATGACGTGTGCTGACATGCTTGCAATACCACCCCGGGCCGATGGGGGTGGACCCGGAATAAGAATTAGCCAAAGCTAACATATATAGTAGCATCTTCTTACCTCTCGAAAACATCTTTACAGGATGGTCCAAAAGTTGGCTCTTGGCCCAAAGCTCCGTTCCACATGTGTCAATGCTGAGGGGGGCGATTTTTTTTTCACCACTCTAGTTTACTTGCTGTGAATTTTTGAAGTCACTCGTTTAAATGAATGGCGCTCCCGCTAGCTGACACATGCACAGATGTGTTTTTTCACATTTTCCAGCCCCCGTGGCCATTTTGAACCACTCCACGAGAACCCAGTTTTTGGCCCATAAGTTAGAACGGCTCCTGTGGACTCACCACCTCCAGGAGGATCAGTGAGGGGCTGGTGCTATGTGTACTGGGTGCAGCTCTGACTGCCACCCCCGACCCTGAAATGGATTAAGGGGAAGAAAATGGATGGATGGATGGATAGTTAGAACGGGGGAGATAGACTACGTACGTTAATATATACAGTCTATGGTTCCACCATACACCCAGCTTACAGTGGAGAGACGGTGTCTAGACGGGTCAGGGGCTCAGGTGGATATCCCGGTTCCCACAGCTGATAATTAAGCAGTACAACCGTTACATGGGTGGAGTAGATTTGTACGATGCCCTCATTGGATGCTAATCAGTGCTTTACAAAACGCGAAAGTGGTATCTTACCATTTTCTATCATTTGATTGACATTGCAGTGGTCAATCACCATAACAGAGAGGCCAATTCAGAAAGCTTTTCGGGAGGAGCTAATTGAGCAATTGGCAGATCAAGGCAGCCCATCTACGTCAACACAAAAGACAACAGCTGCTCCAGTAAATGCAAATATATTGCACAAACTTGTGTTTATGTCAGAGGGACAGGGAGATGGGAAGGACATACGAAGGAGCTGTCCTCTGTGCCATAAGAAGACAATTTTTGGGTGCAGTACATGCAACGTTCCCCTCTGCTTTAGGCCAACCCGAAACTGTTATGAGTAATGGCATGCCAAGATTGATTGTTGAGTTTCCTGTGTTGTTTTTACTTTGAGTTTGCACCACGCTGATTGCGCACAAATTAAAACAAGTAGAATGATGTATAGTTATGTTTCATTTCATTCACATATTATATATATATGTCTATAAATTATCCATATGTTATCTATATAAATAATAGCTTTTCTGCAAACATTTCAATATCTGGAAAAAATAATAATATTTATAGCAAGATTCATAGCCAAAAAATGATATTTGATTTTTAGTGTAATAACATTGATAATTTGAATGTAAAACACTTTGGTACATTTGGCACAAAAATGGACCACTTTTGCTGAATGTGCCAATTAGTTACAAAAAAGCCCCCACCATCAAAATGGTTCCACCTAAAGGTCTAAAATTTCATACAGACATCTGCTCTGGTAAGTTTGAACAACATACCACAAAGTATGTCTTCAAGAGAACCTTTTGAAATTGCCTTTTTTTTTCGAGACAAAAAAACTAACTAACTTTGATTCATGTTTGAGAAGGTGTAGTGCAGACTGTGCCCTTCCTAACAAACTGTAAAATAAATTTCCAGACCTTTCAAATGAGGCATCATAACACAACATCAGACACAAGATGTCCAAACAATAAGCATTTCCATTTGGGTATCATAATTCGAGAAGGATCAGGTGACATTAGGAGATCCTTAAAGAATGGCCCTACTACGTCAAAAGGCATTAATAAATCATGCTCTTATCGAATACTTCTTTAATTGATAACAGTAGTTCAGCCGAGATATTGGAATTTCAAAATTAGTTTTACAGCCCGTAAATCTTGTTATTGTTTCAATTTCGATCTCCCACCCTCTACCATTTCACCAATCAGAGAAAGTCTGTGATCCGGGTTGCCAGAACTCACCACGTCAAGCTAATCTCACTGGTAAAATTATATGTGGCCGCAGAACTACATGTAAAAAAGGTCTTTTTATGATTCCCAAATTATTGATGACAAAACAAGGAATAAAATAAGGATCTCTATCGGGGATGCCTTTGTGAAAAAGGTGTTGGTTATAGATTTAAAAAAACTGTTCAGATATTATGTTCCCAGCTGGATTTGTCTGCATGTCTGGCAACCTGAATCAGGGAGAGTGGGGGAGGTTGCAGTACCAGTTTTGACCAGATTTTTACATACTGCGTCTTTAATTGTTTTTTTGTGTGTGGTTAAATTCCATCCTCTTTTTTTTGTTTAGTTCCAAAACCGACAGACTGGACCGTGCTCATTGCTATTGTGGTGTCGTTTTCAAGTTTTGCACTGCTGGTTCTGTTGATCTTCGGGGTCATCTTCTGCTACAACAGGAGGAAAGAAAAAGGTAAAACATGACTAGTTTAGTTGGCCCTTTCTCAGTGGAGTTTGTATGTTCTCCCCGTGTCTGCGTAGGTTTCCTCTGGGTGCTCCGGTTTTCTCTACCACTAAAATCATATACAGTAGGCCTGGCATGTGCCTCTTGTATGGCGACCTCGCTCCCATCTCTGTGTGAAGTAAGAGACAAATGCCCACAATCGTAAAGCGCTTTATGACTCTGGTCTGTGAAAGGCGCTATATACATCTATATATACATCAATATATACAATGTACAGTAAATAAGTACTTATTTACTGTACATTGTATAGAAGCAATAGGTTCTTATAGAATTTTCACACTCAAAAAAATTTTTTTTTTTAATCCGGGTGGCTTGTTCTGTGTGACAACTGAAAACTATCACATAGAGAGCTCTTCCCTGTGAAAGTATTTTTGATGTTGTTTTAGTTGGAAGTTAGTTTTTACACGTTTCTGTCTTCCCTGTGGTGAAAAGCTGACACGAGTCTTAACAACACGTCTTCCTTTCCCACTGTTCTCCCGGTTTAATACTGCTTATCAACCCGCCTTAAAAATAGCGTGAACTTCAGACTTTCAGATTCAGATTCAGACTACTTCAGGGGCAATTCGTTTGAGCAGCACAGGGCATAAAAACATAACACATAAAAACACAGGAATTTCAGACAGTAACATATGATATGATAAGCTCAAACACCAAAGCCCATATCACCAACAAGCTACGGAGAGTTCTAATACCGGTTTGGAAAAAAGGTGGATTTTACAATATGGTGCAACAAAACGTCTTCCGGATGATTTCAACTTTTGGTGATTTTTATTTTTTCAGAACCATCGTATCAAGTGGAAATGATGTAAGATGTGGCATTATTATTACAATCATTCTTCATGTCAGGAACTATAACATTAATTATAACATTGATAATTGCATGTGCAGGAGACAGAGGACCCAGAGTCAGTTAAGCAACAGGCCGGCGCAGAGGCAGGGTCAAGTCAACCCAGTTTTCACCATCGACGGTCAAACAAGTAAGGACTTATTCTGTGCCGGTGCCACAAACACTTTATCTGTTATGATTCACAACAATCTTTTGTGCTCAGATTTACCTTCGAGTAACCGCAGTGACAGCGGGTTCTCCCAGAATAATGGGCTCCCTGTGTACGAGGTAGGCTTGTCTTGTTTGGTGAGTGTCCTGGAAAGTTTATGATCACGCTGTTGCCACATTTGTATCCACAGTTTCTGTATGTTCAACAGAGAAGTCGTGGTACTAGTTTATAAAGTCAGCATTGTCATCATATCTAAAGGTCAAACAAGAGTGTGAGCACACGTCATGTTGCGCTGGTGTAGAATGTTCATGTTTTGAATGACGATAAAATACTTACTTACAAATGCATTCTGTTATGTTGTGTTATAGACATCAGGAAAAGTAATATACAAGAACAAATAAGGAATACAAACAATATTTTAACACCAGGACTCCCAGAATTCTGAAACTGCTAGAACTCCCAGAGCAATCATTTTGACGGCTTCCATTCAAATCAATAGAATTCAGAACAGATTTCAGTTCTATTAAAGTTAAGTAATTTTTAAAGGTTTTTTCCTTTAATAAGTGCTCAGTTTGGTTAACCCTTGTATTATGTTGAAAAAAAATGACATTGATTATGTTGCGGGTCATTTTGACCCGTACTGTGTAAATGCACTCAAAACAGTCAAGAAAACAGGTTAAACCAATAACAACTTTATCTTAGGTTATATAAATATTTAGAAAAGTGACATACAATACATTTTTAATTCCAACGCTATATTTAAGAAATATTTAGTCTAATCCTCTTGTCCTCCTCTCGGGTCAAAATGACAATTCTTTCCTCCTGCCATGCTTTCTCCTTCCTTTTTCTCATCCTGTTTTCCTTCTCTCTGTTCATCCTCATCTATTCCCTTCTTTTCTCTTCCTCCCTTCCTTCCTTCCTACCTTCCGTCCGTCCTCCCTTTCTCTTTCCTTGACCAAAGATTCGTCCTCTGAATCCTCCTTATCGTAGGAAAATTGACAATCTGGATCAGCAATAACATTGTCCTCTGTCTCTGAAAAATCCTCTGTTTCTGAAGTCTCTTCTTCTACATCACTATCCCAGTTAAAAATCTGTGATAAAGCCTCCTCAGATGTCATCCTTCTGAAGCTCATTTTTGGTGAGTTTGTCTAAAGTCTAGCGCACATCGACAGAGTAACTGGAGACAACTAGTTTCAAGGCGGCTTTTGGCAACTGAGAGTAGATGATGGAGATGATCAGTTGCCGAAATCGGTCGATGTGAGCGCTCTTACAACTGGAGATAAACAGTAGATCTCCGGTTTCAGTCAGTTGCCCGTGTTCTACTTTTCAGAAACTAGTTGTCCTCAGATCCGGAGATATCACCCGATGTGCGCGCTCCAACAACATGTGTGTATTGCGTGTATTGCGCCCTCTACAGTTTATGTCAGAAAACTCACTGTAGTTGAGGCCAGTTGCTGTCAACTATTATTCTTGTGATTCCCGAGACTGGTCTGCTACTAGGAGTTGCCCGTTTACGCCAGATTGTCGATGTGTGCGGGGCAGCAACTCATAGGGATATAATCAGGTGCCAGTCCGATGTACGCTAGGCAAAAGAGATGACATGAGAACAGTGACAAGGACAAGTGTGAGAAAGTTCCCTCTCTTCACACACCTGGCTCTGGCTCTCAGAGGCAATCAAAGTACAATGTCAAAGAGACATGTTTTTTTGGATCTGAACAACTATTTACCCACATTAAAGCGTCTGGGTCAAAATGACCCGCAACATCATCTTTGTATACAAACTCTGCACAGACATTCCACTACACATCAAAGTGTCCAGATTTTACACATCGGTTAATTACCCTAGATGAGGAAAAGTCACCAAATTTCAGCAAGAAAAAGAAAGGATAACCAGTACTTTGATCAACTCAAAAACTGAAATGGGTCAAATTGACCCTTAACATAATACAAGGGTTAATTGATTAACTTGATATAAGTTATTTTCTGGTGAATAAACTAGCTTAGCTCAAAACTAAAACTAGTCCTGCATCCGTCCAGAACCAGCATCTTGAAAAAGGGGCTTTAAATGCCATGGAATGTCAGTTGCCAAGCGACTAAAAATGTTGACATTTTAATGTTACATTCACTGCCCTGGGAAATAAAAGATAACTCATAAAAAATAATGATAAATATATAAATAAACTACATGTATATATAGAAAATGTCACAAAGAAGACAAAAATGTACATGAGCTAATATGTGCTATTGCATGAGAGTCATTACGCTTACAAAACGAAAAGCAGTCAAAATGACTGCTCTGGGAGTTCTTGTGTTGTGTTCAGATTAAGTTGATGGAGTGTTATTTCAAATATTTACGTGTATGGGGCAATTTCAAAAACAGAAAAGCATTGCACTCTATAAATTATAAACAGGACAACATGGAAGGCGTACAGTTAATTGTATTGGATTTTATTTTACATAAACTATTTACCCCATTAACTATTTAACTATGCAGATGCGTTAACCCACTCATTTGCCAACCGTCTTTAACTTGTTGATTTTTCTTCACAGCTCCCTGCATCAGAAAACGATCTGGCAGGAAACGGCTATAACGCTGCCTACAACAGCCTTGAATTTGGCTTCACCAAACATAGACACGTCACTATTGTATGAAGTTGAATTATATTTATATAGAGAAGTGCTGTCATGGATGTGGCCTCCAGGGGGCAGTGTCTACATGCACACCTACAGACTCTGCACACCACGAAAAGATGCCATAAACGTTGGGAGTTATTGTTTTGTATTTTATTACATGAAGTAGATTATATATGATGTGTGTATTTTTTTATGAATGTTTTCAAATAAATGGGTTGATTTAATTGAGTCTCATCTTGTTAATGTGTACAGAGTATAAAACGTGTGATTGAATATTGTGGGCCCAGCCAGTTATTGTCGGTGTCATGATAAATATGTAAATGTTTACAGAGAAAACAGACCAGCACCAGTCACGTTATGCTGCATCAAAGTAATAACAATCAATGTGGAAAGTTTAAGTCATTTAGTAGAGTGTCATCTCCTGCATGACTGGAGTGAATTATTATGAATGCCTTGTCTAGACACATCCTCATTGTGGCGTATATCTCCATGGAATCATATAGATAACACTAGGAACGGCAAGTTTATTTGTATTGCACAATTCATACAAAAGGCAACTCAGAGTTCTGAATAAAACAAGATAGAGACAGTCAGAAAATGCATTTAAATCATAAATAATACTTGAACATTACAAAGATAAGATAAAATAGACTTTTTTAATCTCACACAGGAGAAATTTACAAAGAATAAGTTGTATGCACAGCTAAACAGAGCTGTTTTCAACCTGGATTTGAAAATTGTCAGAGAAGTTTGTCTCACATTTTCTGGAACATTAGCAGCATGAATCTGAACTCCCTACTACACTAGCAGCCCAAGAAGCAGGTCAGCAGACAGTAAGAATACATGTTATTTCATTTCATAACTTAGCTGGTGAGGAAAACAGATTGGTTCTATCACTTGTTTTCACTTTCATGTATCTTTGGCCTCTGTCACATCTTTGAGAGTGAAAAAGAGAGGACACTATAGCCAACCAGCTCTCAGCCCAAAGCATCAAATAGTTGCTCTTTCTTCTAATAGTATGAAAAATACAAGATGTTTGATTTGTTCACAATCGACTTTTATAAGGCTCTCTCTGTTAAGATGAATAAAATGTGTTATTATGGAGGGAAAAAAGTGAATTCATTTCATCAAAGCAATGCTGTCAACTACATCAGAAAGCAGCTACCACACTAAAGCTACTCTAGTTGATTGTACTAATCTGCGTCAGACTGACATCACAAAAATATGGAATTTAAAAAAATAATCAACTTTTATGTTTGATCAAATGTTACTATTATTTTCTGAAATTGAAATCAAGAAGTCTGTCAAATGAACAAATCAGATCAAAGTATGCCATCCTCATGTTATGCTGTATTTTGCACAAATGTAGAACTTGAGTGAGGGTGGTCCTCACTTTCCTGTCTGAAAAAGCTGATCAAAAGATGTGACAGAGGCCAAGGATACATGCATGAGAAAACTGTTTTGAAAGCGAGGAACTAGCTGCCATTGGATGGATCGTATAGTGACATTATTGTGGTTTGATTGTTGAGAATCCCAGCTTTAAAATTAGAGGCCGCGCTATATAAAATCACAGATTTCACCCAGCAAAATACGGAAATTTAGACTGGAAGAATGGAAGAACTAAGATCACAGCGCTCAAGGTTCTCCCACTGTTGCTTCACGGCAACAGCATCAGTCAATCACACTCAGCTGCAGCGCCACACTGCCCTCACCTGGCAGCAATCAGGCACTGCCCACATCAGCTTCATATCGCGAGGAAGCTCCATACAAGCAGCAGCTTCATTCACGCCACAACCCTCCTCCTCCCAAATCCGTCTCGTTCCAGGCCAGCTCTTTCATCCTTCTCCTAGCTACCACCTCCAGGGTCTAGGCCCCGGGGGATTTAATCTCTTAATCTCTTTCCCCTTCTGCAATCGTGCAGAAAATCCTAACCATGTTCTGTACAGCAACAATAAATGTAATCTTGAAGGTTTTACCCTGAGAGTCATATGTGTAATTTATCTAGTGTCAAATTACTGCCAAACAATATACACATCTAATAATACCCATGTTTTGTGTGTTCAAGTCTCTCCAGGTTGAATTAAAACAAGGCAGATAAGCTCCTATATAGCACCACAGTTAAAAACACACCTTAATGTCATAAACCCAAACTAACCATTAATTTAACACATCAAGTGTAATTCAAGTTTTGGGGGTTCAGGGAAATCCAGAACCTTTCTCTGTTCAGATGGTGGTGATGAGAAGTTACTTGAGAATGCATGGGCTGTAACAGAGTAATTGCGGTCTTTAGATGTGTTGTAGATCTCAGTGAGTGTTTACCCCCCACCCCCAGATGCTCAGGTTGACACTGGACTGGAGTGACCTTTACCTATAGAGCCTCTGTATGCGGACTGCTGAAGCGCGGAGGTCTTTGTCTGCATCAGAATGAGACCAGGATCCCAGTGAGAGTGGATCGATGGGGTGATTACCATCACTCTGAGCTGGCTTTAATGTGGGCTTTAATTGCAGAGTGTGATGTCTTTCTTTCTTTTCTTCTAAACGGAATTGCGTTCAAACTTTAGGAAAATTGGAGCAAAAGACAAATTTTCGCTGTTCTGGTCAAGGGTTCATTCACATAGGCACATTTGACAGTCAGTGTGGTTGCGTTGTCATAGTGGGGAGTTCAATCTGGAGAGACTCGAACAGGCAAAACATAGTATTGGAATTGTATGTTGGTTGGCAGATAATTACACTTATGACACTAAAGACAATATTTTCAAGATTACATTTATTGTGCTGAACAGAATGTGTTTGGGATTTGGCGCTTAGACCCCGGCAGAGCACTGCACGATTGCAGAAGGGGAAAGAGATTATGAGATGAAATCCCCCGGAGCCTAGACCTTGGTGGTGGTAGCAAGGAGAGGGATGAAGGAGCTGGCCTAGAACAAGGCGGAGATGGGGAGGAGGAGGGTTGCGGCATGAATGAAGCTGCTGCTTGGATGGAGCTTCTGCGTGATATGAAGCTGATGCGGGCAGTGCCTGATTGGTGCAGATGAGGATTTTTGCGTGAGGCGCTGCAGCTGAGTGTGATTGACTGATTGCTGTTGCTGTGGGCAACAGCAGGAGAACTGCTCAGAGCTGGGTTCTCAGGTCTTCCACTCTGAATTTGCGCTTAAGCTTCATGTGTGTAATATGCTTATTCTGTATGTTATTAGGCTAAAATGTTGGAACTGTGACAATGATTTTTGTCGTCTAAATAAATAGGTCTAATGTGCAATTAAGGTGTCTAATGCTATGTACAGTGCCAAGTGAAAGGTTACAATACAGTGGTTGTCTTTGAGTGTCCTGAAAAGCTCTATAGAAACTGATGCATTATTATTATATGAAACTCAGCATATAATTTTGTGAGTGCAAAAGGCAAAAAACCCAAAAGAAATTTTGAACTGGAGTCAAGAAGATCAACATGGATGAAAAAATCCTTATATTCCAATTTTTTTTTTTTTGAGAATACAAGCGTGTTGCTTGTCTGAGCATATTTAACTTGTGTCTGTCTCTAAATCCTAAATGATGAACGTATTGTGTTGCTCATGAGTCCAGACTGGAGCCTGCAGCACCTGAACCAAAGAGACTATTGGAAACCTTACACCTAATTACATTACCTTTGTGTTGTGTTTCCACTGGACTAAATCCATTACTCCCCCCTGGACTGCCACCTTAACGTGGTGGGGGAGTTTGAGTACTCGGATGATCCTGGGAGCTATGCTGTCTGGGGCTTCATGCCCCTGGTAGGGCCTCCCATGGCAGACAGGTCTCAGGTGACGAGTCAGACAAAGAGCAGTCCAGAAGACACCATGGACAGCACTAACACGAAAACAGTGACGTCGCCCGGCATGGCGCAGCCGGGGCCCCACCCTGGAGCCAGGCCTGGGGTCGGGGCCCGTATGCGAGCGCCTGGTGGCCGGGCCTTAGCCCACGGGGCCCGGCCGGGCTCAGCCCGAAGGGATGACGTGGGCAGTCCCTCCTGTGGGCCCACCACCTGCAGAGGGGTCCGTGGTGAAGCGGTGCAGAGAGGACTGGGGCGGCAGTCGAAGGCGGAGACCTCGGCGACCCAGTCCGCACACACAACATCTGGCTCTTGGGACGTGGAACGTCACCTCACTGGGGGGGAAGGAGCCCGAGCTCGTGGGGGAGGTTGAGCGATACCGACTAGAGATAGTCGGCCTCACCTCCACACACAGCTTGGGCTCTGGAACCCAACTCCTTGAGAGGGGTTGGACGCTCCACTTTTCTGGAGTTTCCCGCGGGGAGAGGCGGCGAGCTGGGGTGGCCATTCTCATTGCCCCCCATCTCAGCCGCCACGTGTTGGAGTTCTCCCCGGTGAATGAGAGGGTCGCGTCCCTCCGCCTCCGGGTGGGGGACAAGTCTCTCATTGTTGTGACGGCCTACGGGCCTAACAGCAGTGTAGAGTACCCGGCCTTCTTGGAGTCCTTGGGAGGGGTACTGGACGGTGCACCGCCCGGGGACTCCGTTATTCTCCTGGGGGACTTCAACGCCCATGTGGGAAACGCCAGTGACACTTGGAGAGGGGTGATCGGGAAGAGCGGCCCCCCTGATCTGAACCCGAGCGGTGCTCAGTTGTTGGACTTCTGTGCCAGTCGCGGTTTGTCCATCACGAACACCATGTTCGAGCACAAGGATGTCCACCAGTGCACGTGGCACCAGGACACCCTAGGCCGGAGGTCGATGATCAACTTTGTTGTCGTATCATCTGACCTTCGACCGCGTGTCTCGGACACTCGGGTAAAGAGAGGGGCGGAGCTGTCAACCGATCATCACCTGGTCGTGAGTTGGATCCGCTGGCAGGGGAAGAAGCCGGTCAGACCTGGCAGACCCAAGCGTATAGTGAGGGTCTGCTGGGAACGTCTCGCTGAGCCCCCTGTCAGACGGACTTTCAACTCACACCTCCGGGAGAGCTTCTCCCAGGTCCCGGCGGAGGAGGGGGACATGGAGTCCAAGTGGACCATGTTCTCTGCCTCAAT